ATACATCGGACAGACCAAACGTCAGTTTGGTACACGGTTAAAAGAGCACCAAAGAGCGGTTTTCCTTTTTTCCTTTGAATCTGTAAACCAGAGTAGCATCAAACTATGTCTGATTGTCCACCTGGTTGCCGTGCAAACTTTAATATATTTTACATAACTCACTGTTTAATAAAGTAGTTGAGTTTGTGGGATGGCAGATTTGTTTTTTATTGTCGGTTACTAATCTAGTTGATTATATCGTAACAGGTGAAACTAAGATGTGGACCACTTTTATTGTAACGGAGCGGCCTAATTGCGTTTTTTTCTTTTATATTAAAGTAAATTCGATTTTTTTCGCCTCTACAAATGCTAAGAAATGCTAAGAGTTTCCAGCTATCTTGGCAAATTGAGAGAAAGCACAAAATAAATAGAGTGGTCGTGATTTTTTTATTATAGCAAACAAGTTTTTGTTGTGTGTAACACACGTTTTTGACATTGCTACACTTTAGAGCAAATGATCAAACAATCCTGGTTTTTTTTGTGACTGGTGTGAGGCAATCGAGAGTTATCTTACAGTTCTGTCTCCCAGTTAGGTTTGACAATCCATCCATTTGGTATTCTTTTCGCTCTTCTTTACTGGGGACACGCTGTTGATTTAGTCCGTAATAATTCCTTTTAGGTCTCCCTCGTTTACTTCTGGCTGTAAGGATAATTAAAAAGGGTGCTAAATTAGAGATTTTAAATTTTGGTAAAAGCAGTCCTGAACAGGGATTCTCAGTAACAAGAGTCCTGCTTGATAATGGAAACGTATTTAATTAAAAGAAAAATAGTACTAACTCGTATTAAAATGGTTGTCAAATCACTGTCGAAAGTAATTGTAACTATATAAATGTTTTGCTTGGGAGAGTTTCTCAAAAAATCAGATACAAAACAGATAGAACAGAATTTTGCAAGTATTCAAACCATAGCAAAAACAATTTTAAAAGAAATCGGTTTCGGACATTTTTGTATGAATAAAACGCACAGATTTCAAGACGAGGATCTCCGTAAAATAAAACAAAGATAGCTAGAATTTGGGTACACTTTGTTACCACATTCCTGTCACATGTGTGGCGTTTTGATATTAGTGGCTTACTGTAATTTGCGAAACGAAACGAAACAAAATGAAAATTTGTAATTTGCGAAATGAAAATGTTACCTGTGACGCACGGTAAGCTTCACAGAAACCACAACAGCCTCAGGTCATTTGTTGTCGTTATGGTCAGGTCATTATGAATTACATACACAATCTCTTACCACTTATGCAAGGTGAGATGTTAAGATTTAATAGTTTATTAAA